CTTTGTCATGCTCTGTACATTCGCTGTACATCCATGCTTTCAGATTTTCCTCTAGTCTGTCAGATCTGATGGGTAAATCCCACAGTACATGTGCACTTCCAAATCACAACATGTCTGACCTCATTGTTAATACTCGTCCCGCTAACAGAACAATGCGACACAGGAAACAAACACCCTTCAGTCTGGTGTTGAGATCAGACACAGGCCCGTCTCTATGCTGTGAATTAGTGTTCAGCCATTCATCAGTCAGGCTGAGGCGCTCAGAGGGAGCCCTCTGCTGTCAATAACCCCCCGCCTCCCCTGCTCCCGCCTGTCTCTAATGTACACAAATATATTCCCCTGCAAAGCCCTGCAGTACCAACATGTCCTGGAGCAAAAGGCAAGCTGAAGATTGAAAAACAAGAGTGTGCACACGTGCGCGTGTGCTCGCTCACACAAACACACACTGACAGTCTTTGTAAATGCCACAAGAGATTACAGAGGACAAAAAGGCTTCTAATGCTAAAAATATCACCTGAATTTAAATAGGAAAGTGCTGATAACTATCAAAAATGTGGACTCATTGGGTTTTCATGTCAAAATGTAAACAGATAATGTATGTGCAGACTGAACTAGCTGTAGGAATACATGAGTTGTTTACATGCAGAGCAAAATTGGGCCAATGGGCAAAAATGTATGTGTGCCGATCAGGTTTCGCTTAACTGTTGGCTTTTACCCAACATAGAGACATAATAAAAATATATTTCTGTGTTATCTGTGGTTCTGTAGTGACTTTAATAATGGAATGTAATATTTTTGTGATATATGTGGTACTTTAGAGACATCATAATAAAATATCAAATGTTTTGTGGTATCTGGGGTCCTGTAGGTATAATAATGATGATATTAATAATGATAATAATAATGATAAAATTAAATGTTTCTGTGACATTCTGTGGTATTGAGTCATTAATAATAATAATAATAATAAAATAAAATAAATATTTATTTTATATCCGTTACAATAATTTTGAAATGTAATATTTTTGTGATATCTGTGGTACCTTCGAGACAATAACATAAAATATATATTTCTTTTTTTATTCTGTGCCAAGACTATACCTGCTAATAACACATTTTGAAGCTCTCTCTCTCTCTCCCTCTCCCTCTCTC